GGGTTTAGTATTTAGAGTTTAGGGCTCCGCTCCATCAACAGGAATGCCCTCCCCCATGGAACACCCAAAGAAATGTTGGAGTTCTTCAAAGGGCCTCTTGTGGGATTCCATGAAGAAGGCTGGTTCTGGGCGCTCGTCTGAATTGGCCGAGCGTCTTATATAAGTTGGGATGCACCGTTAGCTTACCACCTTCTTAGATGGCATTGAAGACATGGGTTTGGAGGTTAGGATTCAGCAATCCATGCTTTATTCAAGACGGAATGTTGGATGCGTAGTGAAGGAGCTTCCAACTGACCTTAAGTTCCTGGAGCGCTTGTGTCGGTGTCCTTCATTCCAGTCCCATCAGGGCTTTGACCAATCATTCCAACTACACCTGGCCATTGCAGGAGAGGTTGGCCAAGTAATCTTGCAGCGGACAAAACACCGAACTCCATCAACATTTCCATTTGGATTCTGGACATCTAAAACCTAAACGCAGCACTTTGTTAACGAGTGCACTGCGAAACGCTGCTCGCCCAAAATACTCAAAGCTCGGGTATCAGCCGCAACCAAAATCCGACACCCTGTGTGGCTCAACTCCTGGAAATGTCTTTCCATAAAGGTTGGCAATCGGAAGATTGGTCTTTTTGTGCACTGGCTTGACAGCAAACCCTGTTGAAACCCAACCGGTTCAAGAACCCATAAAACAAAACTTCTTCGTGCCACAAACTGGCTCCCACCTGAGCGCTTCGGGGTCCAAGTGATTACTCTTTGGGTAAAACCAAAACCTGAAATACATCTGGAGGGATCTAAGAAAATCTTCTCCTGATGGCATCATCCAAGATCTTCTTCTTCAACTGGCCCGAAGACCGGAGGGTTTCGGGGTTTAGGGCTTTGAGGTTCAGGGACTTAGGGCTAGAGTCTTGGCGGATATGGATGCATAGCAGGCCCTGAACCCTCAACGTGTCGTTTCAGCTAACCACCCCCTATAGACTAACCGTAACTAACACCAAAACTTAAACAATTGGGGGAAATATATGTTCCCCCAATTGCTTAGACATATATTTCCCCCAGTTGCTTAATAAGGGGAACCTCGGGGACGGGTAGGGGATAGCCTAGATAGAGGTAGCTCGGTAGTCCATATACCAAGCCCTAGAACTTGGCATTGTTTCTCACTGTCTGGGTGCGTGTGACTGCCTGGTGTTGGGGCCACAGCCCTCGTACATGGGAGGTTTTTGAGCAGTCGCTGTGATCCCTTAAGAGCAACCCCTGCAATCCCTATAAAGCATGTAAGTAGATGGAGGTAGTGTTCTCAGGGTACCTAAAACCCTGCCTTTTGAGGAACCCCATATTCGGAAACCTACTTATCTTACTAGTGCTTACTAGGGCAAAAAGCAATATTTTTCTATATAACCCCTATATAACGTATTCCCTTATTCCCTACTGACCGCCAGTAAGTTGCACTCTGTAGATGGTGGCCCTGGCAAAGGAGACCTCAGATGATCACAGGGAGCTTCAGACCCTACACCCTAAACCCTAAACCCTAAACCCTGAACCCTAAACCCTAAACTCCAAACCCTAAAGCCCATATAAACTTACCCTTACTTCGGGTTCCCAATGTTCTTGAATTTACCAGTTGTCAAAAATTAAAAGCCAAAATGACACCCCCAAACCCTAAATAATGGTAATAAACCTTAAACCCTAAACCCTGAGGAATCAGGGTTTTGGCCAGGCTTCTTCATTTTTGGTTAAACCTGTCCCATGCCCGGGGTTTAGGAACTGGTTGGATGGGGCTCTTGTTGCTAAGATAGAAACCCTAGCATGACCATGTAAAACCATGTTAAAACACAAAGTTTCTTACTCCGACAAACATAATGTGCTGGCTGTTGTATAGCCCTACAGAGATTTAATTATCAATTAGGTTGAGGTGGGATGAGGCGTTGTAATTCATATAACCGTCCTAGCATACATGCCTCAAAATAATGAGATCCCTAGCCCGGTTATGAAGGGTTGCTAGATGCTGTAATCAAGTTCATATAGGAGGTACTGAAGCGTAACTGTGTAACTCGTTATATGATCAGTCTCTTTCACTAAGCCCTTGAGGACTCCCAAACAGGAACCTTTGCAATCCTCTTCTTTCCCCCGAAGCTTCGTAGGGCCCCCCTACTTTGAGACACCCTTCATGTAAGACTTGGTCGAAGTCACTGTTCCCACAATGGAGAGAATTCTAGAGGAGCCCGTATTCTAGTGGCAAGCCCACTACGGGGACATGTATCTTCAAGGGTTCCAGGGTTGTACCCCTGAGGTCGTACCCCTAGAAGGTTCCCCAAGTATGGCCTTAATATACCCCTTATGTGAGCCAGTGTAGTCCCTTAGGGTCAGGAGCCCCAAACCCAAGGTACAACCCTAGCGGTACAAGCCTGAAACCCTTGACATCTGAAGTCCCAAGCCCTAAAGACGAAGTTGGGTTTCTATTGGGGCCCCCTATTTAGGGAAACTACCATATTGACCAAATGCGAACCACCCACCTGCCTTGTCCATCGAGGGCTTGAAGTAGCCTTCAAAGTAATCGGAAAACCTTGCCGCTCGCAATGCAAGATTGAAAGCTCATCGTTCTGGATTGCAATTCAAGGCTTGATACTGACTTCAATGAGAAGGGCTGTTGCTTTCTGCTCAATTGAGGCTCTCTGACAACAGGGGTTTCTTCTCTTGCGCTTTCATGGTCCGAGCTTCTGTAGGATGCTTTTCACCAAGGGTGGCTCGATGACAAACCGCAAAAGTCAGCTGAGCCCCATCAGACCTTGCATGGTCGCGTGTCAGATGTCTGCACAGCATGCAGCCATACTCTTGGCTCTTCATGGAAGATGCCGAATTTCCCTGTGAGGTTCCCTAGCTGGTGATTTACAATCGCTCTACCTGCTTCTATGGCACCTTAGTATGCGCATAGATCAAATTGTGTCTCCCTATACCCTAAGAGCAGGCTCAAAATTGCCCCGGCGCTGACATGCGCTGCTTTCTTGAAGCCGCCACAGGTGCAACTATGATGTATTTGCGGGATGGGTGACCATAAGGACATTGATTCTAGAAATGCCCTCCCGCTCTCTCCCTTAAGCAACCGTATGACTGTGGCAGAATCAATTGCTGCTGTCCAAGGAAGTGATGAGTTAACAGGGTGGGGCCTGTACTTCAGGTGAGTACATGTTGCTAACTCAGATTCCCAGCGTCCCTACGTCTAGCTACGCCGTCCTCCAACGTCTTGCGGTCAAACGCGCGTGGGCTTAGGATGTGTGATGTAGGGGCTTAGAATCTGAGTCGTAAACCTTAGGATTAAAGGTCTTGCTTCTTCTGGCTAGGCCAGAGACATACATGTGATGAACACACTCTACCCAAAATATACACTACTTACTGAACAGCATGCCTCAAAGCAAAGATGTTTTCGTTACACAAAACTGATGTGTATGAGCCACTTCCACGTAGAATCTCACCTTGCCTTTTCCAAAACTAGGATGGAACCAAATGTTGTCCCATGCTAAAAAGAACATGCATCATCATGGGGTGTTTTTTTTGTAGTTCCATGACAGTTAGGGGGGAGGTACAGACCAGACAATTTCACTGGCCGAGTTGCTCAGTGTAAGTTCTACAGTAGAGTTCCGGGTTTCTGTCCCAGACACAGAAATCACTGCACATGCATCACAGAAAGATGACAATGACTCTTCATACCTACGCCTTTGCATATTATCATGCGATACTTCCTAACGTATGAGATACTGAGGCTAATGCAGGAACTTGAGTATCATCCCTATATATAAACCCACGCCCTGAACCGTGTAGCTTGAATGCTAACCCCTGCACTCAAAGCCCTGGACACTAAACCCCACACGCCAAACCTCAACCCCTGAACTAGAACATCCGAATATTCCCTAGACCCTATCCTACACCATGGAACTTTAGGGTTTGGTAGTTTCGCAAATTAGGGGGACCCCAGCATGGACCCCAAAACATTATGATCCTTATGAATTATGGGGATGCCCAGAATTTGTGCCCCTGATTTAAGGAATACCTAAACCCTACAAGTACCCTAAACCCTATAAACCCTACAAACCCTGCAACCTATGGGTGCGTGTGCGTCCACGGGCAAAACCTTATGCAACCTAATTAACCCTATGAACCCTAAACCTTAGACCTTGGGTCAATCCCCCACCCAGTAATGGGTACCACAAGGTACTGTTGTAGGTATATTAAGGTCCTATTAACTCCATATTAAGGAGCCATTACTATAGGGGGGATTGACCTAACTTAGACCCTAAAACCTAAAGCCCCTACTGTTGAGGGCAAGAACCAAGGCACCCGCCCTGCTAGGCCTTTGGCTTTTGCCAGGCTTCGAGCCTCCGATGGCGTTATGAGGTTTAAGGTTGTAGGGTTCTAGGGTTTAGAGTTTAGGACCCTAAACCCTAATGACACGAGTATTGCCTAGAAGATCCCAACTGCGCGGCGCTGCAAGGTATTGCCTTGACTATAATTTGCATTTCTTGTACCTTGCCCGGTCTATGACAAGGGAAATATGAAGAGCTTTTATGGGAGTACATAAAACAGGTATCCGACTGCTTCTTGTGGGGGCAGTACCCCAAGTCATGGGAGTCATGGGTCCTTGAGAAAACAAGTTAGAGAGTACGTAACTTCAAGCGCTCATTGGCTCCAAACAAGCGCTTTGAGACCAATCACCTGCTACTTAGGAAAGACGCCTGCAAAGCATCTGGGATGAAGCATTTTATGCTGGAGGTTCAGGGCTCAGGTTTGAACATTGGGTTTTAGGTTGAGCATGTGGCGGCTTACGGCTTTAAGTTTTCTGGTTCAAGCGTTAAAAACACGTGGCCACTCCGCCGTAGTCTATGCGACCGTCCAAACTTCCACATCCACCGCTTGACGGGTCCAAATGCAGCCTGGACTTCAAAGCAAGAGTGCTACATAGTGGCATGAGAGGTATCATGCATTTAGGGAGGAACGGCGTGGGGTTTTATTCTAATCTCAGTATGGCCGGCCTTTCTCATAGTCATGAGGACTACCCTAAACCCTAAACCCTAAACCCCTAAACCCTAAACCCTAAACCCATTCACAGCTGAATCTTCTGAAGCATCACTTTCTTTCAGTCACCTCACCTTCATAATACTCTTGCC